GATGTCATGGCTGTCGCCGGCCAACAAGTTGGTGTTTTTTCAATGTATGCTTCAGACACGGGTCACGACGAGGCATTCCCCATAGCGACCCCTAGAGGACGCAGTTCAAAGTTGCCATGAAAGGGAATCTCAGAAGCCACTGCCCTTTGGCTCTGAGGATCCAATATCCTCATCTTTGATGACAATTTTTTTTTTCTTTTACAAAGCATTACTGGTGCCTAGATGGAAATGTGTGACTATTATTGGTGGCTGACTAAATACTTTTTTTCCCCACTGTATATATTATCCTGACCTCCTCGGGGAAGGAAATATAGAGACAGACCAGACCTCTTGGAACTTTAATTGAATACCCCTTCATATACCATCGTATTTACATAGTATTCCAAGCTAATTTAAAGAATATGTTTTTTCATATATACTGTATATATATATATATATATACATGGTACTTTTAAAAAAATATTATGGTACCATTTTCAAAAAACATGGTAATATTATGGTACTTCTTTGTCAAATGTCCCTTTTAATTCCCTAAACCAACCTTTCAGAACAAGTTTTTAAATCCGAATAGACCCTCTTTCAGTGTTTAGTCAGCACTAATGATCAAATACTGCTTGAGGTTGATTTTGTAGTGAGAGCTCATGGTATTTGGCTGTGCACCTCCAGTGTGTTCTGGGCTCATGTCCAGTCAAGCTCTTTGGCTATCAAACAGACTCAGATCACAGTAGACGTACTTTGTCATTTGGGGGGTGAGCGGGTGTTGACATGTTTGATGTTCACCGTGTATAACCAATATTATCATATTCACAAATTTTAACTGAGAAGTTAATGTTTTACTGGATTAAAAAAAAAAAAAATTATCAATGGATTATTTGTACCATGGCATGGTAGAACAAAATTAAATTGTGGTATTATGTATTATAAACACTTTTTTTTATTGTCACTTAAAACCTAATACTTCATTTTGAATTAAAAACAAATATTATCTCTAACCAAATATTAGCTGATGGCATGAAGCCAGCAGATCCATGTTCACACTATGAGTCTGTTTGAGTCCCTGACTGTAATTGACATTTCTCAGAGGTAACGTAGGTTTAACTGAATAACTAAATTTTTCCAGGTGCGCAGCCGGCACATGACGCCTGTTTTCAAGATGTGAATGCGGCGGGGAATGCCTTTGGAAACTGTGGCAAGGACAGTAATGGCAACTACATGAAGTGTGAGAAAAGGTGAGGTGGTATTTTAATATTTCAACCAGCCATATAAGCAATATGTGGTTTCTGTCAAAGAACTTGCTGACCTGAAGTGAAATGAAATCTGCCAAATAGTTCTGCAACTAATACATGAAAAAGAATAAACCATTATATGTTTTTTTTTAATTAACAAACTAGTTCAAATAGTTTACAAGAACAGCACTGCAGACTCGGTACTTTTCCGAAATTAGACTTTTAGATTATTTTTTATAATATTATTATCTAATTGGCTTACCTCGTGGATGAATTTTTGCTGAATCGCTGTAAGCAAAGATGACTAGTGATCTCTCATATCAAATCCCAACAGTGATGCCAAATGTGGTAAGATACAGTGCCACAGTGCTGCCAAGAAACCAAAGGGCACCAATGCTGTGTCCATAGACACCACCATCCGTACAGATGGCATCGAGGTGAAGTGCCGGGGCACATATGTTTACAGCACCCAAGATGGGCAGGGCGATCTTCCAGACCCTGGACTGGTCATGACGGGCACCAAGTGTGGAGAGGGGAAGGCAAGTTTTATTTATTTATTTGTTTGCATTCAAGCTTTATATTCAATATATAACTCAGATATTTGTTAAACAGGATCTGTAGTATAGTGAAGATATGTCTCCAAAATAAGTATCTCAATAAAAGCATGTATTTCTTGTTTTGGATTGAAGGGTTTATTTATTCTGTTTTTACTTGCCTTCAGGTGTGCAAAGATCGACAGTGTCAGAATGCCTCTTTTACTGAGTTACAAACCTGCATTGCCCGTTGCCATGGGCATGGGGTAAGTGTGTGTGTGTGTGTGTGTGTGTATGTGTGTGTATGTGTGTGTATATATATATATAATTATATACAGTATATATTAGGGATGTGCATCTCTAAAACTGAGGCTGATGGGATACACATCTCAATGCATAGCCAGCGATACGATACATTAAAGATACATATGAACCAGATGCGATACGATTCACCCCTATTACGATGCAAGTCGATCCGATTTCGATTCGATTCTACGCATTGTGATTCAATGCAATATGATGCAATGGAAAAAATATGATAATATGCAAATCAATATGGGACAGATAGTTTGTTTTTCTTTCTTTGGTTCATTGTAATAATTTGGTTGAAGATGCAGCTCTACCTCTGCCATGTTAATCTCTATTCTATGTGACTCTAAGGGCATGGCTCCGTCTCCATAGTGTTGGGATGTCATATTCATTTAGCAGCAGTTGTGATGAGAGAACGCGCTTGAGAAACAGTTTAGAGAGAAGAAATCAATCTACATATAAAATATTGGTCACTTTCTAAATAATAAAAGTATAGTGCATCTACTAATAAAAAAAAAAAAATTTTTACTGATGCAATATGTTAGAAACTATATGTTAGGGTTTTTTTTTCATGCAAGTGCTTCTCCTAAATTATGACTAAATAAAGGCTATGTCTTTGTATTCCTTCTCCCTTTGAGTTCCTCTTTAACCCAGACTGACTCATTGTGAATTTCACACCTCTAAATCCTTTAAAACCTCGCTCTGGGTCGCTTATTTCCCGACACATACTGCCTCTAATAAAAACCGATGCTTTTCTTATATTAGCAGATCTATAGCCTTTCATTTGTGTATTTTCTGGTCAAATAGTCGTAAAAAGCCTCCAAGCCATATACACTCCAATTCTGTCTTTCCAAATCTCTTTGCCCTCCCTCTGTCTCTCTGTTTTGTCAGTTTTTCTTTTATTTCTTTATGTCTTGCTTATTTACCCATTCGCTTTTCAAAAGGGCAGCCAAATATGACAGGTCTTTGAGGGGAGATTAGAGATTCAGAAACTGCTTTTTTATTATTCATTTGCATTATCATTTGATTCATATTGATCGTATGGTTTAGGCAAGTGTGGATGGAGAATAAAGTGAGTGGTCGTGGTATTTGCACACAGCACATTTTCTCTCCTTTCCACTGTTCCTGTCTTGCCTCTGGGTTAGATTGAAGCGTGTAAAATATTCTCTGTTAAAAGAAATTCCATTAAGATGAAAGACGGTATATTCTGTATTTGCCCTATACTTCAAAAGACGTGACAGAAAATGTTCCCTGCAATTGCAGCAATGAAAGTGAGGATAGGTAAATGGCTGTGTGTGATTAAAAAAGTTAAAACTGACTCAAACAAATATATATTAAAACCAAACAAGTGTGGTGTAGTTCAACCAAAATGTCGTAAGGTTTGGACATGAGAGTAAGTGAATGATGACAGGATTTCCATTTATCTCTTTAAGGTCAAACAGCAGTGCAAAAGGCGTGTGAAACCCAAACCTTCCCGATGGAAATTCTCATCCGGCCTTATTCCAATGTGTGGTGTTGTTTTGCATGCAGGTGTGTAACAGTAATGGGAACTGCCACTGTAAGCGTGGGTGGGCTCCCCCCTTCTGTGAGAAACCAGGACTTGGGGGAAGTGTGGACAGTGGACCTGTACAGTATGACAGTGAGTTCACCTTCAGCTTTCAGTGCATATGTGCCTCTGCTCTCACTTCTTTCTCTCCTATTCTTTAATCCATCTTATAGATAGATTTATCTAAGATTTTATCACTCTTGTGCTCTCTCTCCCTCTTTCTCACTTTCCCTTTCTTCCTCACACCTCTTATCAGATTTCACCTTAACCATTAATCTCTACCATCTAGCTTTTCTTTCCAGAACTCAGGCCAATGATATCTTTGCTTGTTTAAACATTTCAAGAGTAAATCTAGGAATTAATTAATTTATTACTCACTCTTTTCATTTACTGTATGACTGGATCTGAAAAACCTTTTTGTTCTGAATGGAATACTAGAATGTGTCTTAATGCATACTCGGTAAAGTGTATTTTTATTATTTATTTTTGTAAATAGAATGTGATACAGTATGTAATATGCTAAATATTTCAATCAATATTATAGTCACATGACCTCATACATACACTACCGATCAAAAGTAAGACTTTTTAAAAAGAAATCAATGCTTTTTTTCAGCTAGTACTTGTTAAAGAGTTAGTTCACCCAAAAATGAAAATTCTGTCATTAATTACTCACCCTCGTGTCGTTCCACACCCCTAAGACCTTCGTTCATCTTCAGAACACAAATTAAGATATTTTTGATCAAATCCGATGGCTCAGAGAGGCCTCCATTGACAGCAACGCCACCCAAACTCTCAAGATCCATAAAGGTACTAAAGACGTCGTTAAAACTGTCGACGTGACTACAGTGGTTCTACAATAATTTTATGAAGCGACGAGAATACTTTTTGTGCACAAAAACAAAACAAAAATAACGACTTTATTCAACAACCTCTTCACTTCTGTGTCATTCTCATACGTTGTTTACGTCCAGCACTTCCAGGTTCTACGTCAGAACGCCGGCTCATTATTGGACGGTCGCGCTGCTCACATGTGCAGCTTTGGCCAATAATGAGCTGGCATTCGGACATTGAACACGGAAGCCTTCCCTGTGCATACTGCATTAACCACGTAAGGGTAATGACAGGGAAGAGAAGAGATTGCTGAATAAAGTTATTATTTTTGTTTTGTTTTTGTGCACAAAAACTATTCTCGTCGCTTCATAAAATTATTGTAGAACCACTGTAGTCACGTCGACTGTTTTAATGACATCTTTAGTACCTTTATGGATCTCGAAAGTTTGGGTGGCTTTGCTGTCAATGGAGGCCTCTCTGAGCCATCGGATTTGATCAAAAATATCTTAATTTGTGTTCTGAAGACGAACGAAGGTCTTAGGGGTGAGGAACGACATGAGGGTGAGTAATTAATGACAGCATTTTCATTTTTGGGTGAACTAACCCTTTAAATTGATTCAGAAGTGACAATAATGACTTCTACCTTGCTTTAAATAAAATAAAATAAAATAGTTGCTGTTCTTTCTATTCAAAGAATCTTGATTAAAAAGTAGTACGTTTTCCACAAAAATAAACATCCATTTTAAATATTGACAATAATAAGAAGTGTTTCATGAGCACCAGATCAGTATTAAATGATTTATGAAGGATAATGTGACACTGGAGTAATGACAGCTGAAAAATCAGCTTTAGCATCACAGGAATGAATCATATTTTAAATTATATTAAAATAGTAAACAGTTCATTTCAATGTTGGTGATATTTCACAATATGACTCAAGTGTTTTTGCTCAAATAAATGTACAGTCTTGGTGAGCATAAAATACTTCTTTCAATAACATTATAAAAAGCTCATGATCCCAAACGTTTAAACAGTAGTGTACATGAGAGTGAGGCAATTTGGGGTAAAAATGGCTTAACCTACTCTCTGATCACATAGCGAGTAATGTTAAAATGAAAAGTCACAGTTAATATCCCTTCTTGTTCATGAGTCACACTGGAAATAGAAGGTCAAGTTGCTTTGCATTGCATTGCAGAAGAGAGTATTCACTGGTTGTGTGCTGCACGTTTTAGAAATGTAGTAGTTCATTTGCGTGTTCTATTCATTTGCTAGATGCTGCTTAAAAGTAGTATACTAAAGAAAAAAGTATGGTAGTTTGCTATTCTGAACGTAGCCATAGACATTATTATGCTACAGAGTGAATGCCGTGCACACAAGATCTATTATTCAGAGTGGCAGATATTTGGCAAGCACTTCTCTTTGTGTTTGCTGTTGACCCTTGTCTAACAGTCGCTGTATGTTCTATATCTGTCCTCAGGTCAGGTGGGATTGGTTGTTGGGCTGCTCTTTGCTTTTCTAGTTATACTCCCTGCTGTACTTATTGCCTTCTACTGCATCAAGATAAAAAGCTCCTACTACCACAAGTGGAGAACACAGAGAGAGAAGAGCAAAGCCAGCAGGTATTACTGTAGCAACACACACACACACAGTTATGCAGCGCATTTACAAAGTGTTCAGACCCTTTTACAGTTTTGTTAAAAAATTTATGCATTTCCATTTACACAAACCACCACAGAAACAATGTGAAAATGGCTTCATAGAAGTTTGAATGGATTAATAGCAGAAAGCTAAAATCTCAGACCATGTATTGAGCTCAGAAGTGTCCCGTTTCTTTTGATCATCTATTGAATTTATTTTTTGTCCCGTTATGCAAATTAATTTGATTGGACATGATTTTGTAAAGGTACACCTGCTTGTATTTGTACACACTGAATGGCAGAGCAAAACCCTAAAAAAGGTCTTTGAAGTTATAAAAAAAAAAACTTTATTAGCTCTTTGAGATTATCCATAAAAAACATGTCTGGGCAGTCAAGGTTGCTAGAGGTGCAGTGGCCTTCGGTGTTGTCAGATGGAAGACGTTTTGAGCCATTCATCTGAAAACTGGCTGTTTAGGTAAACTGGCTATTTGGTTCCAGGAGAGACCCACTGAATTCATGGCGTGAGTGAGAGAATAAGTGAGAGAGGGATCGATTTCGACCACATTGACTAGTGCCTCCTGTGGCATGCTGAGTGATTCAGCACAATATTATCTTCTTTAGATTCCTAGAAATTAAAGCCACAACAGCATAATGGTTGTTTCCTCAAGCCCATCCGTTTTACTATGTCTCTTGGATAACAAACTGCCTCCATTGCTGGTGCCCTGTGATATATCTAATATCAAAATGCCTTTTTGCAGATTAAAAACTCACACATAAATTAATACCAAATAAGTGTAAAAATCATATGCTACTCTACATGGATACATCTGCCTATCATTCATTTTGTTAACAGAAATAGACTTTTAAAAGAATAGAATAAAGAGGTGACAAATGGCAGCCAGGACGCTGAGCTCTGCGATTCTTCTATTGTTTTTGTTTGTTTGTTCTGTGTTTTGTCATTCTTCTTCTATAAGTTTTACCAGAGACGAACTCCTTAACATTAAGCAGCACACCCCAGACAATATTTTTACAGTTTTTGATTATTCGGACGTTTTGTTGGACATTGTAGTCGGAGGTACAACGGTGTTGTTCAAACGCGTGTGCAGACGCAGAAGAGGGAAACGCGCCGGCGCCCTGGTGAAGCTCCGCACGCGCGGCATTCGGACTGCGCTCCCAAGCATTCATCTCGCGAATGTCCGTTCCCTTCCTAACAAAACGGATGAACTTCTTCTCCTCACCCGCACCAACAAGGACTTTTCAAACTCTGCTGCACTGTGCTTCACTGAAACCTGGCTGAGTGAAGCCATTCCGGACAACGCGCTTCATCTGCCGGGCTACCAGCTGTTCAGAGCGGATCGCATCGCGGAGTTAACGGGGAAAACCAGAGGTGGTGGATTGTGTTTCTACATCAATGAAAGTTGGTGTTCAGATGTAACAACGCTGAAAAAGGTATGCTGTCCTAATTTAGAGGCACTCATCATAAACTGTAAACCTTTCTACTC